GCTTTCATCTTGAACACCTAACCAAAAGCTGACTACAGACACAGCGGGAGTGTGTCTGTAAAGGGATGAAACAATTTTCAAGTGATTTGCTGACCCCTACTGACTCTAACTACACAGTGCGCAGGCGCCACAGCATGCCCCCCAGATGCTTTTTTCCTAGAAAGTGGCTCCCTCTGCAAAACACTTCGGATGCATACGAGCAAGGATTCTCAGAGTTTGCACGGTCACTGTTTGTCATCATGCAATGATTTCCACTGCTCGATATCTACATTTTGTTTTTTTCATCGGTCAGATTTAATATTATATTTTATTATCGGTTAGCCTGTAAAGTTAAATAATTAATCTATATAGCATCAAATCACGACAACGGTCATTTCAAAGCACGTTATATTTTAAGGTAAAGACCTTACAGCAATACAGAGAAAACTCCACCACCCACCAATCAGACCCCCCCCCCCAAATGGAGCAAGCGCTTAGCGACAGTGGGAGGGGAAAACTCCGTTTTAACAGGGAGAAAGCTCGGGCAGAACCAGGTTCCGAAAGGGGCAGCCATCTCTCGTCACCAGCTGTGGGTGAGGGGACAGGCAGGACAAAAAAGAACAATATTTACAGTAAACATCCATGCTCAGATTAAATATCATGCGAACCAGTTATTGGGGTGGAAATAAACACAACTGTTGCTCAAACACGTTGGTTAAATTCCATTCAGGGCAGCGGATGTGCAATTAATTTTCCCTAAGGGTCACATAAGAAACTGGGACTGTGGAGGAGGGCTGCAGCAATAAGCTACACTCAGTTCTGCTCAGTCTTAATTTGATCTCTTTATGAGCTTATTGGTGGTGCCCTCCATTAATTGCTGACCTCCTGATTCAGGGGTATCAGCCAATGGGCCGTGCATGGCTTGCAAGGAGATGCAAGATTAATAGCATTTCAAAATGTCCTTAAGAAAGCCTTCCTCTTATTTTTGTAATAAGGTCATTATATGGGGGAGTAGCATTTGCACTAGTGGCAGCTATAGTCCAAATAACCTGATGAGGAAGTTTGAAGCTGTTGTGGAGAGGCCACTGAGCAATATACCATTATCCATCATAGATAATCCTGACCACCCCACCTCACCCTTCTTCTTCTTCTTCTTCTTCTGATTATTATTATTATTATTATTATTATTATTATTATTATTATTATTATTATTATTATTATTATAGCAGTAGTATTGTAGTAGTAGTTCAGTACTGCCCCAATTCCAAAAAAGGTGGATATTGTGAATAAAACGAGAATGCAATCATTTGCAAGTCATTTGCAAATCTCATATACCTATATTTTATTGACCATAGAAAACTGAGCTGAGATGTTTTACTACTTCATGATAAATGTTAGCTCATTTTTATTTCATGGCAGAAACACTATTTAAAACAGTTGGGACAGTTTAACAAAAAGTGGAACTAAAAAGAAACACGTGGAGCAACATTTTGCTACTAATTAGGTTGATTTACAAGAGGTTGGCAGTATGATCGGATATGAGCCGTGATTGGACAGGAAACGTGACCGGGTATAAAAAGAACCTCTTAGAAACAGAGTTTCTCAGAAGAAAGGACAGATGGAAGATCACCAGTTTTCAACAAAACTGTGTCTACAAATTGTGGAGCAATTTCAAAATAATGTTCTTCAATGTAAAAATTTGAAGATTGTGAATATCTATATATCTACAACAAATAACATAATCAAAACATGAGAATTTGAAGAAATCTCTGTGTGCAAGGGGTTGAGAATCAATACTAAATACCTGTTATTTTCAGAGAGACATAAAACCTTTTGGGATTGGGTTAGGAAGGTAATCTAGTGCAAGAATCTATGAAATCAAACAAGCAAAGCTACCTGTGACCCCTTGTGAGTGAGGGAGCAGTCGAAAGTAGCATTTCTATGCAAAAAAGAAGCCGTATGCCGATGAAAATTAGCCTAAATCTGGCATATTTACATGATGAATTTAAGTTCTCATGTTAATTAATAGACATGATCTCTTTAAATAAACATAAACATAAGCTTGTGCTACCGTCTTGTCCTTTGGACCAAAGCTAATTTAAAATGGACTGAGGCAAAAGTGGAAATCTGTTCTGTGTTCAGATGAACTGAAATGTAAAATTTGAACCTGTGTCTCTGATAGTATGGGGGTCCATTGTAATTGGCAGCTTTCACAGCTGGAAAGACCAGATGTGTGCTGCACATCAATGCTGAAAGGTATATGCAACTTTTAGAGCAACATGTGCATCCAGATTACATGTTTTCCAGGGAAAGCCTTCAGTAAGAGAATGCTAAACCTGGCTCTATTAGAAAAGAATCCCGTGGAGACCCTTTCACCAACCGAAGAAATTAATGAAACAAATATGACAAAGACTGTTGAGTAACTAGAATCCTATAGCAGACAAGAATGGAACATTTCTCTCCCCAAAGACCAGCAACTGGTCTCCTCAGTTCACACTTGTCTACAGACTTTTTAAAAAAAAGAAAAAAAGAAGACGTGTTGCCATAGGGTGGTCTGTTTTCTATGGTCTTTTGCAAAATATGGCTTTTGAGATCACTGAATCATTGAATTCGGTTTTATTTACATTTGATAAAGCACATAAACTGTTATTATTACTGCATTGTATTATGTAATAGATAAACATGGACTGAAGGGAAATCTGAATTTGGGCACTTTAAATCTTCCACGGATAACAAATCGGACAGAAATCTGTAGAAAAGCTGTTGAACATATATCCCTTGTCCTTATCTATGATCTCTCTGTGGTGTTGTGTGTTTCTGATTCTGATGGCCGATGTTTAGCAACTCACAGAGGTTCCAGCTCGAAAAAAAGAGTACTTCAATTATGGGTCAGCCATATAGGGAAACTGGCCTTTATGAGCCTTCACTAAACTGTAGGTGCAGTGACATTCAAAGCCACGCTGGAGTAGCTCCATTTTACGCGTCTGTGTTTTAAATGCAAAATAACCCTCTCAGTTGTAATGTCATGCCGAAATCACACGAATTTTAAATGAAGCTCTCAGTTAAGCTGTTTCACTAACAAGGTGACACTTTATGAAGAGGAATTACTGGTGTGAGGATTTGCTCCACTTCTCCCTTCTTTCTTTCCTTCTGTGTGCTTCTGTGATGATGACTAAACCTCGGTAGACTGGCTCAGCGTGTTTGTCCTCTGTCCTCATGATGGCGCCGTTTGCTCAGGCTACGGAGCTGCATGCTACCTGCTGTACCCGGCCTAATATTAGCAGTCTGCTCCAGTTGAAACGCATGGGCTTTAAGTTGTTGTCTTCATATGAATCAAGGAGAGGTTCTAGATAGCCCCCCTCCCGCAGTGACTGGCTCTTTTCGTCATATTGCGTCAGCGTAAACAAAACGCTGACGTGAATGTCTCCGTCTCCCCTCTTTGGCAAACTCTTCAATTGGTTGGTGAGCTATATATCTGATTCAGTGGGGGTGCATAGTTAAACCTAAGCGTCTCCTGACCTCTCCATTTGGCGAATATTACCAGTCCTCACGAAAAATATTCAAGTTTGCTAGACCGGCCTCCGAACCTCCAAAATGAAAAGTCTCATGTATGGAGTAAAAAAGACTGCCAAGTTTTGCTCCAGTCATCTGACTGCGGCATTAGAACAAACAATAAAGAGAAAATAGCTCAGAAGCTGCAGATACAGAGAGGTTCGACTTACTCTCCACGAGCTCGAAATTAGACGTCACCAGTCCACTATGGGTGGAGAGGATTAGGCCTTCTTCTTGGTTATTTGACACATGTTCTATATAACAAGCATTGCATCGTCGTTTTTCGTTTAAACACATCAATCAGCAGATTGTAATGACATAGATAATTTGAGAACAATGCTGGGAAAACGTGAATCGTTTATTCGGCCACGCAGACTCTCCGAACCAGCATCCTGCGTCACCAGCCGTTGTTCAAATCCGATTATGTGCCTCGTTTATTTCAACAATCCAGAGGTTAGGTTTAGACCTTAGCGTTCTCATTGCACGGCCATTAAAGCCACCCCTCGACATCCAGTGAGCAATTATTGTAAACGATTAGAACAAAAAGAAAAGTGAATATAAAGTCTGAAAGCCGCAATTTGAGACGAGTCATTTCAGCACTGGACAGCTCCCGACTCCCCAGGGGCCTTGGACTTGGTCATCGGAAGCCTGATCACCCTCCATCAAAACCATCAAGTCATTTGAAACCACCAGCACCACTTCCCAGATCAGAGATAATCACTAAAGCGTAATTAACCTATCGGTGACGTGAAAGTTTTATTTATTTATTTTATATTTTAAAAAAAGAAGAAAAAAAAACAAGAAAAGCAGTAGTGGTTAAGGCGTTGACGAACTGATCTGTATTGGGCGTCACATCAAAACTTGATGATTTCATGTATGCATTCACAAGCGTCTCTCTCTCTCTCTCTCTTTTTTTTTTTTTTAAAAAAGAAGAAAGTTTGAAAGTAAACTTCCATCTTCGGAGGGAGGTGGGGGTGAGTCTGACGGATGCATCGATGAGGAAGGAACTGTACTATTATATTCCGGGAGGAAGACTTGATGACGTCTATAGCATCCTTAATGTGACTTATTGGAGGGAGGTGGAGGACGAGGAGGAGGAGGAGAAGGAGGGGGGCAAGGCTTGCGATACATGGATAAAAATCCAAGGCAATCACAGCACAGGACAAAAGTTTAGAGCAACGATATGTAGACGCACAGACAGCGCGCTCTCCCACCGAGTTTTTGTTTGGCTTTGCGACCGGTTGAGTCCTATTAATTGGGTATAAAAGTGAGATAGGCAGCACTGAGGGGAACATAAGGAGACGACGGAGGCGCTTCAGCCAGGGAAGAAGTGCCGTGAGAAAGATACCGTCTCTCTCTTTCTTTCTCTCTCACTCTCACACACACGCAGACACGCACTGCCACAACCGCGCCCGGTTCACAACCTACAGCACAGCCTCCTCTCTGCTTTCCTGCTATAGGTATGTGCTTTATCTGCGGACTGTCTTACAACTCGGAGAAATTTATGCCCCAGAGCGAGATAAAGTAATGGAAATTTTTCCCTTTTTGTGAACTGCGTGGAGATCTGCAATTTTTAGCTACTTTGACGCTGAACATAGAGGATTTGGTGTCATTACCGCAGTGTAACTTTTACAAGATGAGGTGAATAAAACACAAAATATCCAGTTTTTTCTTCCTACCCCTCGTTTTTAATGATCCTTTTTTGGTATAAGCCAGTGGACGCTATCTTTATCCAGTTAATTCAAACAGGTTCATGTTCGAACCAGCTTTTTAGTTTTATTAGTGGTGATAAAGTAGCACCGCCTTGTGATTTTGATACAACAAAGAAAAAGCCGCTTTATTGTCAGGTAACTGCTCTGTTTAATGTTGTGTCTGTTTCTCATTTCCTAACAGCATGGCCAGTTCGAGTAAAGCGACTTTAATCTTGCTCATCTACGGGATCTTTATGCACTACAGCGTCTTCTGCACACCTCTTGGACTAAGTTACCCCAAGATTAGGTAGGTTTCTGGTTTCTGGGTTGTTATCGTTGTCCTTTATGTTCTATTTGAAATGCTCCTCAGCAACACGTTTCATTTAATGTTGCTGTTACGTTTGCTGCAATCAACGAAAAAGAGGTTTGTTCACTTTATTTCAAATAAATGCGCGCAATTGCGCAGAAACTCCGCGCGCAAGTTTTAGAATCTCCCAGTTAAGCATGATGACAGAAGGACATGCAGGCTTTTAAACAATCAAATGCAAGGCTGGTGTGGAAAATGAGTATGGAAATTGCACAGGAGTATCTGTCCGGTGGGACGGTTCACGGAACTCCCCTTATTAAAAATGAGAATGCAGTCGATGCAATGGATAGCCCTCGGGATGACGGTGGACTGGCGTCACCAAGGAGAGGCGAGGCAAAACGAATAGGGGAGCTTTATCCATTTAAGATTTAGTCTTCTTCTTCTTTTTTTCCTTCTTCGGGAAAAGCATATCCATTATTTGGGCGTGGTTCTCGTTGATCAAATTATAAATAAATAAATACATAAAAAAGGTATTTTCTGAATTCTTTTTAATATTTTTGAGCTCCACGCCTACACTAAATGTGATCATTTTCACACCCATTGTTTCGAGTTTTAAATAATTAATAAGGTTGGAGCCGGCAGCATCAAGTGGAATATATATATTAAAAAAAACCGATTTCTTCCAGAAAGAAAAACATATTCAAAGAAAGAAAACAATACAGCAGGACGCATTTAATAAAATTCAAGTCATTATTTTCGCCAAATTTAAATTATTCGTTTTCTGGCTTATTTTTCTTTCTTTCTTTACTCTAAAAAGCCTCTTTCCCCCCGTTTTCACCCTTTTCCATTGCATTTAACCGCCCGCTGTTTTTAAAGGCAGATGCAGACATTTGGCATCCTTTCACTCCTGCGTCCACACGTGTGCATTGATCAAAATTGTGATGAATGTTCTTTCTTTATGCAGACTTGAAAACGACGCATTCGATGAGGACGGGAATTCGTTATCCGACATGGGTTTTGATAGTGATCAGATTGCTATACGAAGCCCGCCATCCTTAAACGACGACGCATACACCCTATACTACCCACAGGAGAAGAGGTAAATGCGCCTTCGTTTCACAGCCAAAGCCTTGGGCTGGATTCCAATTTAATGACTTTGTTGCTGTTTGCTATAATGTTTGCTTGCTTTATTTTTCCCAGAGTTTCTCATGTTATTTGTCCTGTCTTATTTTCATACCGAGTAGCCTAAAATGTTGATTCCCTGCAGTTGATAATCAAGAGAAAAAAAAAGAAAAAAAAAAGAAGGTCGGCAGATTCGTAAAGGATAGCCTTTAATCTCTTTCTTTCTTTCTTTCTTTCTTTCTTTCTTTCTTTCTTTCTTTCTTTCTTTCTTTCTTTCTTATTTATTTATTGCACTTGACGTGATATTGGACATGCGAGTGGGCGGGAACATTTTAGGCTACTTTTGATCATTTTGTCCGCGCTTTTTAATCTATATTTTTTTTATTTTGTTTTAATTTATTTATTTTTATTTTAGTCACTGACGATCTATGTGTTTTGGCGTTTTATCATCTCAGACCAGAAAGGCATGCTGAGGAAGAATTAGATAGAGCCTTGAGGGAGATCCTGGGTCAGTTAACAGCGAGACATTATCTGCATTCTCTGATGACAATTCGTGCAGGGTAAGGGCATTTCTTATTAGCGTTCACCTGCAGTCATCATTTTTATTTTTATTTTTTTTATGTTTCTGCGCTGCTCAAGTTCAGGCTGCTGTGTCACTGTCTGTCATTTTACGTGCGTGTGTGGTTTATTTCTTCTTCTTAAAAAAATGCTACCCCTCTATATAACGTCTGGACATTTTCATTCCACCGTTTTGCTCCTATTTTGATGTGGCGTGACATTGCATCCACGATTTATGTTCTTTAAGAATAAGATACTGAAATACAGCGCTATTTGTAGCCCTTGTCTTACCTATCAATTGATTTTGCTTTTACAAACATTAATGGGTGGTGGTGGGAAAAAAGCAAGCGTCAGAATATGTAATGGGATGTAAATTAATATTTGATAACCTTTCCAAAACGCTTAAATCACTAAATCTTTCCTCACACACATATATATATTTTAACGTAAAAAACAAAAAAATAAAAAAAATAAAAAAAAATAAAATAAAGGCCCATAAATGCATTATTAATGACTACTGGCCAGATGAAGAGATGATCAAAGTTGAAATGCCACATCAAAAAGAGCACAAACCAGTCAAGACCTCGCAGCTTTAACTAATGTCACTGTTGTTTTATTTATCTTCTGTATTTTTTCAGTGACGACAACAGCATGGAGGAAGAATCAGAGCCCTTATCCAAAAGACACTCAGATGGGATCTTCACTGACAGCTACAGTCGCTATAGAAAGCAGATGGCCGTGCAGAAATACCTGGCAGCGGTTCTGGGTAGAAGGTACAGACAGAGAGTTAGGAACAAAGGACGCCGGCTTGCCTATTTGTAGCGCTGTTAAGGCGCTCAAACTGCCCTCCTGTGTATATACATCCAGTCGTTAAATCGAAGTCATTCAGATATATCTGACCAACCAGTGGATTGCGCCTGTGTTCTTTCAACATGTATTTATGTATGAAGTAAAGCCATTAAAATGAATATTTTAATAATAATATCGGTTTTTTTTCTTTTTGTACAAAAGCACTTGATACCGCACAGTTATACTTTGTGGACCAATATTTTATTTTCATGTTTACGATGTTGAAAACAAAACAAAATGATAAAAAAAAAAAAAAAAAAAAAAAAACAAGAAAAAAAAGAGATAATTGTGCACCTTCAACATTATGCGCTTGAAATCTTTAAAAGTCATCTACATATGCAGAAAATAAATAGATTTTAAAAAGACAATCAAAGTATTGAATGTTATACTTATTTTTGTAACCAACGTTCTATTTTTTTAGTGTTGTTTGTTTTCCAAACAGGCCCAAAGAAGCAGTGAGCATGCTATGTGAGGCATATCCGGCTTATCCTAAATGATAGATGTTGCCCTTGTCCACGCTTCTCCACGCTCCCTTAATGGGAGCTCTGTGGGTTTGTATAGCTTGCTGCCCCTCCAAGGGGAATTCAGACGGCTTTTGTTCCACAGCCTCTCATTTGATGGTTAACCGATTGACTTACACGTTCAGTCAATGTAAGTGCTGGTAAAAATTCAACCTTCTTTCCAATTTCATCGCAGGCTTTTGCAAGGGCACTGATGCCTTTACTAGATAGAAAGGAAGCACTCGAGTTGCTGTTAACAGTATGCAGAAAACACTGCTTGCTCACTCGCCTCGAGAGTCATTTACAGTGGGAGATAAATTATGCTCGATACGACTGTCTAAGGAATGTTTCACATATGTGTATTGTGTACAGTATAAAAATTACACAGAGCACATAGTCATCTCAGTGTTGTCTCTGTTCAGTCAACAGGATTAAATGGAGAAGAGAAAGGAAAAAAAATGCTTAAACTGTTGATTGTATTTTGGCAGAGCTCCGAAATATTTAGAAAGGACTCAGAAGGAGCAGAAAGTGATGCAGTTTGACAAAAGAGGAGGAGAGGGAAGGTAGCGTCTGAGTTGGGGTTAGAGATACTGGACTCTTATTTCTGATTTAATGGTGCATGTGAAAACTGACACCGTGCTAATTTTCCCTTACAAACTGCATGCGATTGTGCTTTTGTTGCTGTGTAGGAGATGAGCTGTGCTAAGCCTCTTTCAGGCCCCCCCCCCCCCCCCCCCCAGATGTTTTGTGACAGAAATGTGAAGAAAGAGGGCTAGAAGTGGTAGAAACTGGTACTGCACTGACTTGTTGATTTTATTTTTACCTGTCCTGCTGCTGTCATTGTGGATATCATAGAACAAGACACTGGACCCCCCTCACCTCCCTTATATGCTGATTGCCTTTGTCTTGGTTGTAGTAGTAGTTCAAGTTCTTTTGCTTCTAGATTGCCATGCCAAGTTTCTGGTTTGATGTTAATGCTCTAGTTTCACTGTAAAGCTGATCTGTGTTAGAGTATGTGAGGAAGCAGGTGAAGAGTGTTAGCTGATAAAGAGATGTGTGTGTGGAGTCGAAGAAAAGGCAGTGGAAAAAGAGACGGTGTGTGTTTGTGTGTGTGTGTGAAAGAGAGAGCGCGAGAGAGGAAAGGCAAGCAAAGTAGCCTGTTGCATAAGACACAGGTTACAGCACCCACGAGCCAGAGGAGGTTTGTCGCACGTCAATACAGAAACAAACAAACAAACAAAACAAGTGATGGCACCACTGCCTCTGCTCACCTGCTGAAGTGAGATCAGGGTCAATGAGTCTGATAAAAAAAAAAAGTCAGACGTTGAATTCCCTTCACTTTGGTTTCATAAGAAGGTTTAAGAGTATGTGAGTCAAGGTGGATGAGACCAGCAGAACAGAGGTGTATGAAATTCAGCCCTCCAGCAGAGGGATATTCCCTATGACTTTTATTAGAGAGATATCTCATGTATTTATTCAACATTATGCAAATGCAGCTTTATGCACCCCTGCAATCTAATCAGTGGCCTGTGTTCCCCCATAGAAACTATCAACACACTCCTTCTTCAATTTGGCTCCATCGTACAGGCTTTGCGTGAGTGCGTATGTGCATATTGCGTTTATCTGTGAGCGTGTGTGCATTTAATGTTTGTTTGTGTGGACGAGTGACTGAACATGCATGCGGAGGTGGAAACAGCTTTTGGCTTTTGGTGCCTTGCTTCGACGTGAGAAAAACATAAAAAATACTAAAAAAAAAAATACTAAAAAGAATATTCACCACAAGTGACAGATGGCAATTTTAGTGGCCCTACAATGCTGCAGTCCATTAGCTTACATTAAAACTTCCTTTTCCTCTGTTTAATCACTCGGCTTAGTCTGCCCCAAGAGTAGTAGAATTAGGCTTTCTTTTAAAGCATGGCAATGATTTGTTGAGTATAAAGTATATTAAAAAAGTGAATAGAATGTGTATGTCGGTGAAGCAGGCGATGTATGTGTGTGTGTCTGATTGTTTGTGTGAGTGTGTGTGCATGGGGTGTTCAGTGTCTGTGAGAACAGTAGACAATGACCAGTGTTCCTTGCTGTTGATTATGACGTGTTGTCGATTATTTTGGGTCAGTAATTTATCAATGAGAAAATATCCCCTACATATTAGAACTTTGTGCATCACTATCTAGATTTAAAAGGGTTTGAGAATATAATAGAGATGTTGTTCAGATCATAGAAAATGCCTGTTGTTGATATTTCTGAAAGCGCCGAACGCCTTACTTCAATGTTTAATCTCTTATCTATCTGAAAACAATGTGTTTTAAAAGTGAACCTTAGTACAAGTGACATCGTTATACACACAGGAGTCCTTATATGGGGTTTTACGTTTGTCATTGTTATGAAAGTGTTGTAAGATTTGTATGAATAAATTTTTGTAAACAACAACATTTTCTAATCAATGTCTAATCTTTGAAATACATCACTTTGTTTTTCGAGGAGACGTGTCTTTTGAACAAAGAAAGTGCAGCGGAGCCACAGTTACATCACACACGCTGACTAGAATATATATTTTGTTTGCAGTTTACTGCCCGCATATGAATGTTGAGCTTACATGAAGAACCACCTATTTCCATGAGCACAGATCTCCTCCTGTAACAAACATAAAGTTGCACAGCAGAAAATAAAGCAGCAAATGCATTGTGTGAAGTTGGTCTAACTTTTAAAAGACACGTTTGCAATGCGTCAAAAGGGAAATCACAGATGTGTTTTTGCATTTCAAGTTGAGGAAATAAATAAATGAACCTGCAATTCAAACTGAAGAACCATCAAACATCTCTGAGGAGCTCATCAAGAGAAGCTACGACTGAGCTGCAGAGCCCCACGCAGGGCTTCTCTCCTCCTGGACTGCCTTGTGTTTCTCCTCACTCCATCCTTGGCCTTGGTAGTGCAGCTGTGTCCTGTGGGAGACGAGGAGGATGGGTGTGGCAAAGGATTATGTGTGTGATCTGATACTCATAAGCCAGCAGGAGTATGTGTGTGTGTGTGTGTGTGTATGTGTCTGTGAGTGCACATGCACCAGAGCTCAACTAACCCAATCAGAGAAATGTTGCATGGCAACGGTCCACAAAGGGACACGGTTATGTATACGCATGTGTCAAGTGTGTTTGTATGTGTGGAAAAAGGAGCGAGACAAAGACGGAGACTGTGTGCATTTGTGTGCATGTCTGAGTGTTTTGGGCTATTTGTGTGCACTGCACAGGCAGACCTTGAGCGGGCTCTGCATTGGAATGGGGTTCTGCATCACACCTTACATTTTTTGTGCACATGCTGCCTGTTGAACAGAAGAAACAGATGCACAGTGTGTGTCTATCAGAGACACAGTAATAACACCAACAGCCACTGCCACAGAGGAGCACAGGTATTAAATATGATTAATGAAATTCAACAAAGTGAGTTAGCCATGAGAAACTGCCACACACTCATCCGACGTGCATCACTGTTTCTTCCCCGAAGACACCAATTCATGGGAGTTGCCCTGTTGCTAAGAAAAGGCTGACAGATTGTTGGTTGTCAGGGGCCTTTTTTTTGTGCTAAACCTACCTGTGTGATATAAATGCTGTCTCCGGTCTTTATTTATACCCCCTCTACCCCTTTGCTCTTCTGCTGTCAAAGTGAAAAGCAGCTTCGGTCCACCTGACAAGCAGAGACTGCAAGACTTGTTCTGTATGGAGCAAATGAGGCAGGTGAAACGAACAAAAAAATGTATTCAAAAACAAATTGGATTTGATATTCACCCCCACAAGTGGATATTGAGACAAATGCATCAATTTGTTTGCACAGCTTCCACATAAGGGGCCACCCTTGACCAATTTGTACATAATGTACATTAATGCCTGAATCAATAAAAGATGGCTCCTCCCTCTTCATAGTGCCGCATCATCTCTCCTCTCTGCACTCTACGTCTTAAATCTGTATTAGCATTTTTGAGCGATTCCACAACTGATTTTTTCGCAGGAGTTGTCTCTCTGGGTTGTCTGTGAAGGTTCTCAGTCTCTCTGGGTTTTTTGTTTTGTTTCGTTCTCTTGGGGGAAAATGGAAAGAGCTCCTAAATTTAGAGTCTAACTCCCTCAATAAACAGTTTGGAATCAAACACAGCTTTTAATAATCAGCTCTCTGCCTCCAGACACGTCTTAATCACGTATGGAGTGTTAGAGGGGGAAGGAGAGGTTTTGTTCAGGGCTTTTCCAGTGGGGATACCCACACCTCTCCCAGTCCCGCATGGCCACACCCATCTTTCTTTGTCACCATGTTTTGATGAGCATGTGAAGCCAGAAGTGTGTATGTGTGTGTGAATGAGCACTACTGCTCTATTGTGTGTATGATTAACATTTCCTTCCCTTCACAATACTTTTGTGTGTGTGTTTGTGTGTTTATTTATCTCAAGTGCAAACACTGCCCCCTCCTTCTTCCATAACATCTCTCTTGCATGTCAGGGTTAGGAGTACAAGAAAGGCCCAGACACAGCAGTGATGCAATCACCATCCCACCCACTCCACCCCCTCGCATT